CCCCCCCCCCCTTTCTCCAAGCTCCTTATAAACTGAGCATGATGTCATATAGTATGGAATACCCCTTTGGTCAGTTTGGGTCACTTGTCCTGTCTGTGTCTCCTCCCAACTTCTTGTCCACCCCCAGCCATCCCGCTGACAGGGCAGTGCAAGAAGCAGAAAAGGCCTTGGCCCCATGTAAACACTGCTCAGCAATAGGTCTATAGAACAAAACCATCTCTATATTATCAGTGCTGTCTCCAGCACAAATCCAAAACATATCCCCACACTAGCTACTATGAAGTCAATCAATCCTCTCAGCTGAAACTAGGACATGGCCCAGGTCATGTTTTCAGCTAGGAATAAAGAAATGCATGGAAGCAAATTCTGCTGTCATTGAACACCCAGAGGTTTAGGAGAAAGGTAATGAACATAGTCTGCCTTACAATTGATCTGCATGTCAGTCCTCAGATACCCATTTTGACTTTTGTGTCCACAAAAAGCTAATGCTGTAGTTCAATTTTTACCTGTAAATTAGCAGTGATGAGGGAGCTGCCTTAAAGGAACTATTGCACCCAAAAGGCACCTGACTGGTTAGATTCTTCAACAGCACAATTAAAGTTAGCTGAATTAATGTAATCACAACATAGAAGCTACATCTGTTGTCTCAGGAGGTAGGTACAAGCTGTCTGCTACACTGTCCTCCCTTCTGCCTTGATGTTGCAGGATGTCCCTTGTCAAGGCTTGCCTCAGATCTTAACTGGTCAGCTCTGCTCTTTCTAGCTAGCTTTCTCCTGGTAGCTAGGCTCACTTCTAGACATCTTTAAATACTGTTTGCATGAATCCATTCATTGCTGCATAGGATGTCTGACTCTTAACTGCAACATATGGCACTTTCACCATTTGAGTGGCTGATAGTCATGGGAAGTCTCTGCAGGTGTTCTGTCATTTTGGGTCTTCCCCCTGATGCTTGTAGTCTGATTCACAGTGTGTAAAACCACTGAAGTCACATTAGCCATGTGCTAAGTTAATATACTTGTTTGTATCTGAAGATCAGGTTAAGATCAGTAGATTTGCTTTTTTGCTTTTTTCCTAGGCTAAATTTTGGTGGCATGTTTGCTCTGAGAGTGTTCTGTGAGATACTACACATGTCACCACCCTTCTGTGCTAACAGTTCGGATAAGCTTAAACTAGGTCTGTGCAGCAACCGGTTACTCTGCTGTTAAAGATATGTGAAATGGCTACATCTTAAGAATTTTGCCTGCCTTTCGTCACCATTCAGAACCAACCTGCTCAAGCTACTTTCCTTGACCATAATGTGGGAGCCTAGTTTTTGTGTATTTTTTTTCCTCAGTTATTCTCTGGGTGTGTGGATTGCTTGACTTTCCATTATGAGTTTGCCATGTTCCTTCCAGCACTTTAAACATAAGTATAGTTTAACTAACCTACAGTTGAGTTATGGCAACTTGAGAACCTGATGTGATTTCACACTACTGAAATAAGCATAGATGTGTCCACTTTGTCTTGCTGAACCCGTATTGGTTGTGTATACCCTAGAGTCTACCTTGCACACTAGTATCTGCTGTTTCTTGTAAATCATGCTGCAAAATGTTCACAAGAGCTTGTTGCTTTGAAATTTTCTGTAATAAAATAAACGTTCTTACCCTCAGTGCAAGTGCTCCACAAGAGTGGAGCTTTTGAGCACCCTTGTGTCATTGTCTCCCTGAGCCACTGACTTTATTAATGTTGGAAGGGCATTACTGAGAAAACTAGTAACTTCATCAGTATCAGATAGTGCCTGAAACAACTCCAACTTCTCAACAGTCCCCTATGTGTATAAGGAAGAGAGGATTGAGAGGAAATAAATTGTAAGGTGAGATCGAAGCAAACTTTGTGTAGTATGAGTATGATGTAGGGGGAGATAAAAGAGAAAATACCTGATAGTGTTGCTATGCTGGAATAATGATCTGCAAAGGTCGTTAATTATGCTTCTTTACCATCAATGTGATCTCTTCTGTTCCAGAGCAGCAGAGTTACACAACACAAAGGGAAAATCTTCAGAGTAACTTAATGTGACTTCAGGTGTTTATGCTTATGATCAGCTGACATTATCCATTGCAGAATCATACAGGGGCAACACAGAACAGAAATTTGCCCTTCCCATACCAAGATGAAAGGGATTCTCAAGGTTTAACTATGAAATGAGAATAAAACAGACTTTAGAGCCTTTCAGCTCCAAAGGAGCTTGGTTCTGGTCTCAGTTTGTTGTAACTCCAAGAATAAATATTAATTTATTAGGCAGTTGCTGAAACAATTGAGAGGGCAGGAGTAGGAAGTAACATCTTTAGTGGCCAGCCTACTTCCCTGGGCTCCACAGCAAATCTGTCAGTAGTTGCAGATTTAATGGGATATAGGATAGAAACCAGCACAGTCTCCCTCCTCAGAGCTCCTGATGGACAGGTGGTTAACACAGCTGTAGGCTGTAATTTCAAACACTTTGAATGAAGAATTAGAGCCTAAGATCACACTTTTGTGGGTGAGTCTGCAGCTACCCACTCTCTACTCAAGAGGCATAGTGTGACTACCTAAAAATGTAAGGTGAACTCAGTGTTGGTGTGTCCAAAGTATGTCTGGATGAGCCCTGCAGTGGATTCACCAATGCTAATGTTGAAGCAGGAACATCTTTTGTCACATCTAGAAGCTCGTACTGAGAAAGTCCCCTCAAGGAAACTGATGGTCAAGTCCCTGAGAAAGCAGGGACATGTGAATTCACAAACAGTATGAAAAGGATGCATATCTAAAAGCTGTAGCTAAAACTTTTACTTGGACTTTTATGAACAATTTCTTATTTTTAATACAATAGAAAATATTTCATTATATCTCATGTAATATATTATTCTCTCACGTAAACAAATTCCCTTTAAAAAAGGAATACTTTATGTGGCACTGTAGGAACCTATTGGTGCTTTGTTTCTACGTTAAAAGAGATACTTGTATATTCCTATATCAGTAATCTATCAGTCAGCATATTTGCTTTTGGGTATGTCCTCTAGAATTTTCAGAGACACTGGAATTAGTTAGGAATAAATTGTAATTGAGTTATAAGTAGGATTGTGTGATGCTGCTCATCTGTGATGTATTTGTGTGCTTAAATAGGTTTCTGTCAGCAAATCACAAGTGCCAGCCTAACTGAGTTTAGGAGTGATCTCCACCCTCTGCAACTCCGAAACGTTTCAGGTCACGGCAATTCGGTGCAGTCTGCATGTCCTCACTTTCGGTTTCGCTTCTTCCGGCGCTGGGCAGTGTGTTTCCTCATGGTTTTTGTGTGCTGAGAAACTTCTGCAGTGCCTGGGTGCCTCTAAACTGAAGGAGATAAAGCCCACAGTGGTAAGTGGATGCTATTCTTTGCTTTCTTAGTAATAACGCGAGTATCAGAGGTACAAAGCCAAAGTACTGCTCAGGAGCTTGGGTGATTTCCTTGATCTTGGATTTCTCTTAACTTGCAAATTAGCAAAGTCTGTTCTACTGCTGTTTACTTAATGAGTGTGCTTTGGTGTTTGTGCCTGGATGTGGTGTCCCTAGCTGGCAGGGGGTACTTCTGTGCTTTCAAAAAAAGAGGTAATATGGGTGAGGTGAGAATGTCCCTCCCTGGGAGATTCTGGAAGCCCCCCTGCTAAATTCTTCAGTTTTTTAAAGTTCTTGCTCATAATGTTATCATAACATTAAAACTGTCGTTAGTTCTTTTTTTTTTCCATAAGTAGTCTTCTGTAACACTGTCCTGCAAGTCTGATAATGGGTGTGTGCTTTCTTCACTGGATCCCCAACCAAAGCATAAAACACCTCAAGCTGAATCCAGACTTCCTGCAATGAAAAAGGCAGCCTGTCAGGCCTCACTGGAAGTCAGACAAAGAACCTGATTTGTGTTTGTGCAGCATGTTTCTTGTGCCTTTCAAACTTAAAGATGAGCTGACAACAACTGCTAAGGAGCCTGGCAGCTCTCTGATCTCCCTAAAACAAACCCTCAGAAGGATGCATGTCACAGGTAAAGCTTTTGTTAGACAAGCTCCCCCTTTGTTTTCCTTACTCTTATAGCAGCCGGAGTGCAGAAGCGTGAGGCAGGACAAGTGGTCATTTATTTTACTCAGCTACAGGGACATGGGTGCTGTGTTCAGCAGCAGCTGTAGCAGATCAGGCTGTCTGCAGGACTATCAGGTTCAGTTATTTGCTGTCCCCCTCCCTTCCCTGTTTGCCAGTGGCAGGTGAGTGGAGACCTAGGCTGTGTGAGCTGCAGGAGATGGGTCAGGCCCATGAATTGGTTTTTCATTAAGGTTTATTTCAAATTGTCTTTGGTAGTCCTTTGTGTATGCTTTTGTTTTAGGTTGCTTTTTCTCTTGTTTATATCCCTACTCCCGATGTATTTTACTGATGTCTGTCCCTGGATGGCCAGGTTGGTCCCACAGAGGCACTTATAGGCTTCTTCTTTGGCTGCTATAATGTAGCTTTTTGTCGCTGGAATAGTCCTAATGTGTGCCCTCTGAAAAGGCAGGTCACTTACGAAGCCAAACTCTGCTGGGGTCTGACCTGCTAAACTCCTGTTTGGCTGCAGGTTGCAGTGTCAGTTCCTTAGTGTTTTGTTATGGTATTGAAAACTCTTCTCTTTAAAAAGCATCAGTTCTGAAGGCTTTTTTCTGTACAAATGTGCTGGTTTAATTTCTATTTCATTGTTTGCTATTGAGCAATATCTAAAGTGCTCCAAGCTAGATCATGTTAATTAATCACAGGTTCCAAGCAAAGGAAGATGTGAGCTGCAGCACTAAGAAAGCTCATATTCCTGGGAGTTAGTCTTTTGAGAAGCTCTTCTAGATTCTTAAGTTAATTAAGTTTAAATTCCCTTTTATAGCCTGTTCTGTAGCAGGGAACTGATAGTCTTCTCTACCTGGGAGCCCATTGTGCTGACACTTAACTCATTGGTAAATTGAGGTTGGCAGGTAAGTTCCAAATTTGTTGGCAGAAGGCCATACAGGTATGTGTATATGGAGATTGTAGAAACACTTAAAGCTTCAGGGATGAAAGTATAAGCTTTATATTTTTTAGAAAAGGAAAAAAAAAATTAAGCAGAGGAACCTAAGCTTGCTTACTTACTGTTCTTACTAAAGCGTGGAAAAATATTCTGGCAAGCACTCAAAATATTTGTTCTCTGTCTACTAAAGATTAATTCTGTAGAGAATGATATGAAAGATACACTGGCCTGCTCTTGATTAGCAGAAATACTATTTAATTAGACAAGTTCTACGACTTAGTAGGCTAGTCAAACCATTCTGAGCTCTTATAGCTCTATTCTAATCAGTACTTTTGTGGAATTAATTTTCTTCCTTATCCAGTAAAGCCATATTACAAGATTACCAGGTGAATTTAAATCTTATGGATACTAAATCAAAACTGAATAAAATATGAAGGTCTGAGATTCATCAGAAATGTAATGCCTAAATAGAGCCATTGAAGATTAGAGCGCCGGCAGACAGAGGTTGATGCCCTATTGGAAATGCTCAAAACATATGAGGTGGGGTATATAAATTCTTAAATGTGTAAGTTTGCTTGGAAGTATTTGAATAAATGTATTGAATCTATGGACAGTATTTTCTCTACACCTTGGCTCCTCTCTGCTTCTTTCTCTGATTAGGTTGGTACTGATTTATTTTGTCTGCTTTTTCTCTCACATGCTTTCTGTAGCCTGGTATTCCTTCTTTTGCTATGAGATGGAAAGATGGTTAGAATTTTATGTGGCTGGCTTGTAAAACAAAAACTGGTAAGAACTGTAAAATAAAGAAGCAGTATATTAGGCATTCTTACTGCATATAACTATAAATATTTTAAGTGTAATTAAGCTCAGAGTATAGTGATTAATATTGAGGGGGCTGTCTATAGATATTTTTCAGTGTGGTTAAGCTCAGTGATAAACATTGAAGGGCCTGTGTATGATTTGTCATATTTTATGCATGTCAAAGCAATGCAAAATTAATCAGAAAGAAGAAAATGGTTGGAAATTTGCATTAATAATAGATAAAGTCTTAGTACTTTTTTGAATGTAATTATTTTTGCACAAGACAATACTATTTTTAAAGAAAAATCTTAATTTAGGGAGATTATTAGGTGTACTTTTTCTGCAGAAATGAGTGCTACTTTATAGGTGAAAAATACTGAGTGTTTGCTCAGTATAAAACGACATGTTTTTTGAGCCTGGCTTCCTTTAGCCTTCGGCTTAAGATATAAGTTGTGTTAAAATGATTGTAACTTGTACTGTGTTCATTTTGCCTTTGCAGATAAAATGATGGGAAGTGCTTATCTTTGGTGGAGCAGCTTATCTGTCAGGCTGGTGTCTGTCTGCTTGCTATGTGCATCCATTGGAAAGCAATGTCAGATCCAAAATGAAATGGCTGACTGCAGTCACCTAAAGCTGACTCAAATTCCTTCTGATCTCCCAAACAATATAACGGGTTTGGACATTTCTCATAATCAGCTAAGACAACTAGGTCCTGCAAATCTGACCAAGTACAGCCAGCTGGTTTACTTGAATGCAGGCTACAACAGCATCTCTAAACTGCAACCAGAATTGTGCCAAAGTGTGCCCCTGTTGCAGATTCTGAAGTTAGAACATAATGAATTGTACAAGCTCCCTGATAGAGTCTTTGCTTCCTGCACCAACCTGACTGAGCTCAATCTAGGATACAACAGAATAGATATTAAAAATGATCCTTTCAAAACCCTGGAGGTAAGCTTTAGAAATGTACCTTTTCATGTAAATAAAGTATAAATGGGGAAACTACTCTATGTGTGTACAGAACAACTGCTTATTCGCATCTGAAAATACCCGGCATATAATCTTCCTTCATTGTTTTTCTAAAGAAAAGGCCTAGTGGCTTCTTGTGTTAGACCACACTGGAGTCTCAGCCATCCTTATGAGTCAATGCTCTCCTTCCCCTTTTCCCTATTGTATCCTATTGAGGCATCTCTCCATACAGGATTTGTGCTGAGAGCAAAGTGGATGGTGTGGAATCTGAGTTGCCTGGGGTCTAAAAGTGGTAGCCAGCCTAAATTCTCAAGGTCAAGGTGTAATTACTCAGACCATGAAGACTAGTGCTTAGGCTGAATGCAGTCTCTCCTGGGACTTTGGGGATAGAGAAAGAGCAAAAAGGTTTTTACTCTACCTTTGTTTTTCCTGGTAGTTTACACATGGTTAAATATTTTTCTCTGTATCATCTCCGAGGCTGGGGAACCAGCAGAGGAGCTGGAAAAGACTATTCTATTGTCTTTGTACCAGGTAGGGAATCATACAAAAGGGCATAAGGACAAAAGAAAATAGAGACAGCATGTGGATACTAGTTGTTGTACAATGTTCTAGTGAGCATGCATGTTGTTTTGAACAAGTCTGAACTCTTCTGCTAAAACTCAGTATTCCAGCTCAGTTACATAAAATGTACTTGCTTGCATTATAGGACTCATGGCTCAACTAAATACAAATGAGTACAATCAGCTTTGGTGCTGGGAACAGAACTGAAGTTCTGGCCTTCCTTGCTTAGGTGCTGCCCTGTTACTGATGGAGGCCAGGCTTGGGGCACCTCAAGGCACATTCTGTGGAGTCGCCTTTAGGGTAGCATCTCCTCCTCTGCAGGTGCAGGAGGAGTCTGAGCACCTGGGCGTGATCTGGAGTATTACAAGGTGTACAGCACTGATCTTTGCAGCCTCCTACTGCACTCCACTTTCCTCACTTCCATTTATGGGGGTATTACCACAGTGAAGAGGGTAGAATGCAAGATTTAATACTGCAGTAGTTGTAACTGAAGCCAGCTGTGGACTTTAGCTTTTATTACTTTATCTGAAGCAGGAGGGCTTTCAGTGAATTAAGGAATTTTAGATAAAGTAATTTGGTTTGTAGTAGATATTTTAGCAGGTTAAGACCATGAATGCAATGAAAGTTACAGGTGTGGAAGATACAGAATGCTTCTTCCTGTAGGAGCTTGGGAGCTGCCCTTTCTTTACTACAAATTTATTCAAGTATTGCAACTAATTTCCAATTAATTAGACTCTAAGGCAATACTTCAAAATGGTTTTGTATTATAAAATTTATACTTTTCTGTTTGCATCTTCTCCACAGAACTTGAGTTATTTAGACCTATCTCATAATTTTTTGAAGTCGGCAAATTTAGGATTGCAGCAACAGTTGACGAACCTTCGTGAGCTCAGGTTGGATAACAATCAAATTGCTGAGTTAAAAAAGGAAGACTTCAGTTTTCTCAGCAACACGTCACTGAATAGTCTCGATTTGTCATCGAATCCACTGGAAGAGGTAAGAAGCTTCTTCAATAGAAATTCAACAGTAGGAACTATCATAATTTATTCTTTATGATTGTAGGGCATTTATATTACATCTTTTATCCACTGAGGTCTAAGATAAAACTATTCTGTTGTATACAGCATTACTCCTGACCTCCAGTAGTGATGCACATAATTATTTTTCACCCACTGAAATCAGTAAGAGCTGGTTCCACGAAGTTCAGAGGTCTCAAGAGCTAGCTCAAGTAGCTCTGTGAACCTTTACCATGTATTTTCTATGCAGGATTTTTTTTTGTATGTGCTGAAGGTGAACAGCTGACACACTTTCTAAGTGGGGAAAAAGTGCGATATTGTGCAAGGCTAGTTATATGATCTAGGTCTTGCTTCCTAATTAATCAAAGAGAACATTTGTTTATGGCTGTGGGGTACCCCAGAGAAATAATCATTGCAGAAAAGTGTACTCACTCCTTAAACAAGTGGGTGTTTTTTCTGCCATCTTACCTCATTGTTCTCTGACCTGTTTCTTAGTGTTACAATATAATTCTTTGAGGAGTGATGGTGTTACAGTTCTAAACTGGTTGACCCTCAACATGCAAATGTTGAATTTGCTTGGGTTTTTTCCCAGTTGATTGACCTGTAAAGAACATGTACATTAAAATTACAAGAATATTTTAAAGTGATATCAGCTTGTACCACTGCTGAGAGGCAATCCTACTGCCTCTTTCTTTTGGCTGCTTCATGCCTCTCTCTTTCTGGTACAAGCTTTAATGAGGCGATGCACTGGATCACAGGGGAAACTCTACAGTTTTTTTTGTTTTGGTGAGCTTGTAGTCAGGCTGGTTCCATGTCTGGTTCACCATGTGACTGCATGTATAGCCATGTTGGCACAAGGTTATGGCCTGTGAATAAGTAGATGAGACCGCTGCTTTCTTGGGTAGTACTACTTCATGCTAGTTTAATCTGCTCTGATTTTATGCTACTGCTGTTTGAAAAGCAGCCTTATGCATTTGAATCATTCTGACAAATGGAGTATTTAATCATTCAGCTGACATTTGAATCAAGATGAGGGGCTAGCACTATGGTAGTCTTGTGACTTATATTGTGGAAGCAAGTGTGTAGTATCACATTTCATGTGTAGCTCCTGCTTACCCGGAGAAACTGGGTTTCTTCTTGGCTGTCTGAAGGCCTAAATAACTTTTGTACAGTACATCTGGTTTTGCACTAGTATATTGGGATCCCTAGTGGATACCAAGAAAAGAAAGCCCAAGAAAAACATTACTTCAATTTCTAATAAAGAGTTTTAGTAGTTACAAAATTGTAATTAACTTGCATTTCACTAAGCAACTTTCTATCTTCTAAAAGAGTACTACTCAGAATTATGATAATGTTATGAATTTTAGAACTATTACAACAAGAAGTATGAACTCCAAGAAGTATTTGTGTGAACTTGGCTGTGGAAAAATCTGGGTATAGGAGTTATATTCTGCTTGAAAATCTCATTTTGAAAGCCTTTCTAAATTTTGGCTTTATGGGTCAACTTTCCTACATAATCCTCTTGTTTAAGTCAAAATTCTTTTTTCTTTTCCTTTCAGTTTCACGTAGGATGCTTACATGCAATTGGAAATCTGTTTGGCCTCACGCTGAACAATGTTGAACTTGGTGAAAATCGCACAAAGAAACTTTGTACAGAGTTATCAAACACAGCGATTCAGAACCTCTCATTGAGCCATGCGAAGCTTTCCTACATTGGCAAGTCAACTTTCCAGGGACTGCAAGGAACAAACCTTACAGTTTTAAACCTTTCCCAAAACTCTCTGTCTGTGATAGAAGATGACTCGTTTCAGTGGCTTTCAAGTTTACAATACTTGAACCTGAAGCATAACAACATTCATGTATCTTCACACTTATTTTATGGATTATCCAGCCTCAAACATCTGAATCTGATAAATTCACTCACTGGGAAAATTGAAGATTTTTCCTTTCATTGGTTATACCGCCTGGAGTACCTTATAATGGATAATAACAATTTTCCAGGAATTACTGCTCATATGTTCACAGGTCTGAACAACCTGAAATACCTGAGTCTCTGTAACTGCAACATAAACTTACAAAGAATAACTAATAAAACATTTTCATCACTTGCTAATTCCAGTTTGCAGCTTCTCAACCTCACAAAAACAAGAATTTCTACAATAGAAAGTGGGGCATTTTCTTCCTTGGGACACCTGAAAATTCTTGATCTTGGTCTCAATGAAATTAGTCAAGAGCTCACAGGTCATGAATTTAAAGGTCTCAATAATATACAAGATATTTATCTTTCCTATAATAAAAACTTGACTTTGCGAAGTGAATCATTCATTTTTGTCCCAAGCCTTAGAAAACTGATGCTGAGAAAAGTAGGTTGCAGTAATCTGGCACTTTCTCCTTCACCTTTTCATCCTCTACAAAATCTAACTGTCCTGGACATCAGCAATAACAACATAGCAAACATAAAAGACGACTTGTTTGATGGACTTCACAAACTTGACATTCTGGATTTGCAGCACAATAATTTAGCCCGACTTTGGAAACATGCAAATCCAGGTGGCCCTGTTCTTTTTTTAGAAGATCTTCGCAACTTGCGTATTCTTAATTTAAAATCAAATGGGCTTGATGAGATTCCAGTTCAGGTTTTCAAGGGTCTGTTCGAATTAAAACACTTGGATTTAGGATCAAATAATTTGAATTTGCTTCCAGCAACTCTGTTTGATGACCAAGCTTCTCTGTATTCCTTGAACCTTCAGAAAAATCTGATAACCTCAGTTGAACAAAAAGTGTTTGGCCCAGTTTTCAAGAACTTGAGAATACTAGAGATGGATTCCAATCCATTTGATTGCACCTGTGAAAGCATTGCTTGGTTTGCTGATTGGCTTAATGTGACCCAAGCATATATACCTGGATTGTGGTCCCAGTACATTTGCAACACCCCATCTAAATATCATGGTAGTCTGGTGTTGCATTTTGATAGTTCAGCCTGCAAAGACAGTGCTCCATTTAAACTTCTCTTTGTAATCACTACCACTACTGTGATGCTACTCATTTTTATTGTTCTTATCATCCATTTTGAAGGGTGGAGAATAGCTTTCTACTGGAATATTTCAGTAAATCGAATACTTGGTTTTAAAGAACTTGACAGACAACAGGAAGAGTTTAATTATGATGCCTATGTTATTCATGCAAGACAGGACAAGAATTGGGTGTCTAAGAATTTAATCTCTCTGGAAAAAAATTACCACTTTCAAATTAAGTTTTGTTTAGAAGAACGGGACTTTGAAGCAGGCATATCTGAATTTGAAGCCACAATTAACAGTATAAAAACAAGCAGGAAGATTATTTTTCTTGTGACTGAACATCTCTTACAGGATCCCTGGTGCAAAAAGTGAGTAGGATATAAAATTTTATATGTAAGGGAGAAAATTTCTTAATAGATTTTTTAACAAGGTCATCTTTTTGGCTGTGAAAGTTAATAAAAAAAATACCATGCAAATTCAACTTTCATATATTATACTTAATATATCATAATTTCAGTATCATTCCTAAGTTAAAGTTAATTGCTCTACATATACACTAGTGGAAATTTGAATCTCTGTCAATACTTTTTTCCAAAAAGTCATGCTGTCACCTGTGCAGATTGCTTTCTTTAAAATTGTTTGAAAGAGTAATAATTGGTGAGTTCACTAACATCCAAAGATGATTTTTATTTGCCTTTAAATGAGTCTTTTCACCTTTCTTATGTAGTGATCTTGAAAGGAAAGGAACTTTGCTAAATAAGGCTATATCAAGACAGTAGACTTAGGTTATATTTTGAGAGGATTATTTTTTCATTAGTTAGAAGGTACTAATTGAAGTAAGTAATGATAATTTTATATCATAGAAAAGATGTGAAGACTCCTATTTGAGTCCAGTCCTTGAGTTTGCAATGTGCTTTTGTGTGAGCTATTAAAAGAACTATTTGTTGGTTTTTTCCTCCACGTGAAAGAAAACACGTATCTTTGTCTTATTTTTGCTTCAGTTTTAAGGTGTATCATGCTCTTCGGCAAGCTATTGAACAAAGTCGGGACTCCATCATACTGATCTTTCTTCATGACATCCAAGACTACAGGTTGTATCATGCACTTCACCTGAGAAGAGGAATGTTCAGATCTTGCTGCATCTTGAACTGGCCAGCCCAGAAAGAACGAGTTAGCGCATTTCATCAGCAATTAGTGATGGCACTTAAATCTAACAGTAAAGCACACTGAATTTTGAAAGTACAGATATGAATTATGGGGTCATTTTATTGCATATTTTCTATCATTGGAAAACTAACAAGCCTTCAGGAAGATCTGAAAAATTTTGTCATGCTGGAAATACGTAAGAGTCACTATAAGTTAAATTTACTTGTCTGTGTTCATGTTTTTGCTGATATTTTAATTCACCTGCATTGAAGTGACATGTTAAAGTGGATTGTGATTGATAGTCATTTCAGTCTATGTATGAGAGATGTGGTAGAAATTCTGAAAAGCAGTGAGAATGCTTTATGTTCCAGGAAAAATGTCCATCTGATGTAGTGCAGAAAAGACAGACTCTCTAAACGAATATGCATAAGAACATAATAATGATAAAATAGCAAATTCTGTGTAGAAGGTAGAGTGGGCACTACTGCTTGCTTTCATAACACAGGGGGAGATCTAGTGAAATTAAAATTGGAAAGCTTTCCCTTTCCACGTGAAGCACAGTGAGTAACATGGAAAACTATTTCTGTAGTTGAAAACAAGAAACAGATTTTGAAAGTGTGTTTTAAAACCTTTATTTTAAGGGAAAGCCATAGAAAGAAACTTAGCCCCGTGAGCAGCCTGTTCAGAACACGCAGCAAAGGATTGCTTATGCCTTCTGAGGGGAGGCTAGTACTGGTGACTATCAAAACCAGATTTTTCAGACTGAGTCAACTGATTGATTCAAATGTGATATGATTAAAAAAAGCATTTGCTCTTCCCTAGTGAAATTCAGAGAGCTGGCAGAAGGACATTTATACTGAGCATTTATGTGCACGGCTGGTGCACCTGTACAAAATGAGTCAAGGCATAGATACTTCTGTAGCATAACCAGAAGAAAACTTTAAGGGGGAGGTGGTGCTACTCTAATTTCATTACTGAAAACTTTGTTAGTGGTGAGACAATGACAAAACCTCTAAAATAAATAATTTTATACTGTATCAGAAGTACAGTGACGGTCACAGGTAGAGCAGAAAAAAGACTTCAAAACAAAATTTGAAATCTAGTTTCCTTTTTCTTTATGACTGTATATAATTTTGCCTTTGATAGATCAGAAGAAAATTGTAAAGACATCCGATAGAATTCTGTAGTTTAATTTCTTATATATTCATCTAGTTTGATTTTTTTCCTTAACATACTTTACAGAAACATGGACTAGTTAGTAATTGCCAGAGCATTAAGGTTCAAACGTATGGGCTAGTAGTGTGATCTGGAGAGAGCTGAGAACCAGCAAAGTGTGCTCTGAAAGGACGTTTATAATGTTTGAGACTGGTTGCGTTTTTATGGGGTGTTTGAACATGATTTATTGTAAATTAGACATTAGACAGTCATTTGTATGTTTTTGTTAATACTTAATTGTCGTTCCAAGGACCTTAAAAAACTTTGCCAATTTTTAGTAGGTGTCAATTTTTAGATCCTTCAATAGCTCAGGAATATTTTTAATTTGCTTTTTTTCCCCTAGCATTTCCCTCATCATTTTCAATCCCACCATTATTCCAAGAATGCTATTTTACTGATTTAGAAAACAGCTTTCAGATAGTTCAACACTTAACATTTTAAGCAGCTTTTCTCATGATTTGTTATATGCATAGATTAAAAATGTTGGGTTTTAATAGGTTTATATGTCCCATGATGATAAACATAAATGAGAATAATTGAGATGATTTTTGGATGTACTGGAAGAGTGAAGGGCGTGTAGACTGTCTTCACTTGCTCAGGAAGTCCTGAGTGAAAACAAAACAGGCTTTGTTTACAGTTCAAGTGATAGATGATGATTCCCTAATTACAGTAATAGGATTATCCCCATTGTGATGCTTTCATCTCATATTTCTGACCTTTTCAGGTGAAGTGACAAATTCTTTCTTCATGCTTAGGCCATGAAAGTTGAGGAGGCAAGTCAGTAAGGATGGGGTGCCAGGTATGCACCATGTCAGTTGTTCTTTCTCTTATTTAAAGACTAACATGTGAAAGTGTTCCTATGTTTCCTAAATCTGTAAGATACATAGTAGCAGAATTTCTCATTCCACATCAATATAAATTGTTTAGAAAATGATAGCAGGTTCATATGGATATTAAAAATGACAAAGATGCAGAGAATGCATGGAGAAATGCTGAGGTGACGTGATACAAGAGGTCAGACTAGATGATCAAATGGTCTTTTCTGGCCCTTAAACCCTGACAAATGATAGTGTATCTAAATTCTATAAATACTTTTCTTGTTACTACAAATGCCCCCAAAGTCAGTCTCAGAACAGTGAAGAAATGTTATGAGTGCTTAGTTTTGTAATATAGCTAAGAATACAAAGTAAAAGTATTTGCTGATGAGTGAAAATAATTTTAAATTATAAAAATACTATGCATTCTAAACAGTTACTTTGAATGTAGGTACTAAAATAATTTCCAACAGAAAAAGACAAAGGCTCACAATGAGAATTAGACTGAGATTAAAAAACACAAAAGCAATAAGCATAGGGCCAATAGTAATCAGCAATTACACTTGACATAAAGTTTTCATATAAATTTTCATATAAATTTTCCCTGTTTGTCTGGAAGTTACCTAGTTCTGTTCCTCTTCATTTGTTTGACAATAATATTGAGAGTAAATAAAAGGGCTTACTGTGGTGAAGAGTTGCAAGTGCTTTCAGGATTAGCAGTCTGTATCTGACCTTGGTGGTTTCTTTACTACCCAGTTGATTACATTATGCTGATTTGTTGAGGAATTGGATACCAAATAAATGAAAAATAGTTCCAAACTTGTAGTGTCAAAGATATTACCTGGGACTGAAGAGCAATCATCTCTATTGAAAGCAGAATATCTAAAGGACTTGAGCAAGGCAGAATGTTCAAGTCTGTAGATTTGGGGTGGAACCTTGACTGTTTCTGTGGTTCTTGAATGACAAGGAGTAATGAACAAGTTAGTGATGTTCCTAGTAGGTTCTATTTCAGGTCTTCAGACATGGTTGCTTTGGGGCTGCAGCTAAGATAAATACACTAAACACTAACATGCTCAATTATGCTACTTTCACAGTGGCTTTGTCAAGGCTTTTTGACATCGTGAGGAATAAAGGCAGATCGTGCAGCTGTTCGGTTTTTGTGGGCCTATTCCATAAGGTTTGGTCAGAACATACTTATGTCAGTTTGTAAGAAAAAAGGCCAAGGCTATCCCAATTTCAAATATCAGTCCTGTATTTGGTGTTGTGCGTGCCCTACCCTGCCACCCCATTGCACTCCTTGATGTGCTAGTAAGACAAAGCAGGGATAAAATTCCCCATTTGGTATCCTTCATTGTCATCTATTAGCAGCTGCCAGCTTTAAGTTGACAGTGCAACTAATTGCTTGATGTATATATGTATAATGGAGAACTGTACTAGCTTCTAGCCTCTGCTGTTCTTTTGGATGCTGCCAA